GTTTTCTTATTGTTGGAGGCAGAAGTGGTGTATATTTCTTTTTGATATTTGTAATGAGTTTGTTCCTATAGTTCTGGTGTAGTGTAATGGATTTTGTGTTTTTTTTTGTTTAAAACACACTTTTATGTGCTTTTACAAAAAGTACATTGGCAGCTTCTTTGAATTCAATGACCTAAAATCAGGTCTCAATCTGGGTTTTAAATTTTGCAGTTACCTGATGAAACCGTTTTAAAGACCCCTATTAGTTCATCCTTCAGCCTTTACCTTTTAGGGAAAGAGAGAGCCAGTCTGTACAGCCTTTCCTGACAGATATACCATGAAAATCGTGGTTTTATCCTTGTAAATTGTGAGATGCGCACACACACACAAATGCACACACACATACTCACATACACATACGCACACACATACATGTGCACACACACACATACACACGCGCACACACACACACACACACACACACACAAGCAATTCCACAGACAATTCATCAGAATATTTCACTTGTAAAACTGAAGAATTTATTGGAGTTATTTCTCATGTGAAGCAGTATATTTTGCACAACATATTAGTTGCAAATATCTGACCTGAATATTTGAAACAAAAAGGCCACATCATCTGGCACTGGAACAAATTTATTTCCAGATGCAGTTGGGTTTACGATTATTGCCTCTGCACTTGGAATGATCAGAACTGTTACTTTCTGACTGACTCTCGACGCTGAAAGCGAATTCTCTGTCCCGCCTTTGTAACAGCGATGTTCCCTTGAAGCTTATTGTTTTGAAGTCATCAGGTGACACAGTCCAAAATGTGGCAATTAGACATGGATAAATGTTGGAGGTAATACAAATAAAAATGATTGTGAGAAATAGCAGATTACCATTTTGAGCATTGTGCTCTTGGCTAGACGTTCAGAGAGAGGCCAAAGGCTCAATTCCCCCTATTTCAGGATTGTGTCTGGCCGCTTTGTATCGTTTTGCAGATATAAAAGACTTTTTTCCTCTCTGTCCCTGCAGTGATATCTTGCATCAACCTTAAGGTGCTATTGTGTCTGCTTGCAAGTTCTTGCAGCTTGTAACAAATGCTGCAGCTGGTCACAATTTAACATGAATGGCTTATGGCTCCCGTATCTTGCACAGAGGCTGTCCACTTTAACAGAAATCCTGCCAAAAAATAAACTGCGTGTACTTCCCAGATAGCAAGCAGTAAGAGTGAAGTGCCTGTGGGAGCTGAAATAGCAAAGCAAAAGACATCTCTGTGTGGCTGAAAAAAACCCCCGAAAGAACCGCAAATCAGCTGTAAATCAGGAACAAAAACAAAGTTGCTGGAAAAGCTCAGCAGGGCTGGCAGCATCTGTAAACGAAAAAACAGAGTTAACGTTATGGGTCTGGTGAACTGCTGAGGAAGTTCTGAGGAAGAGTCACTGGACCTGAAACGTTAACTGTGTTTTGTCCTTCACAGATGCTGCCAGACCTGCTGAGCTTTTCCAGCAACTTTGTTTTTGTTAGCTCTGTGTGGCTGATGGTCAGTGTCTTATTACACTGACCATGACTGTGGAGACATCAAGGTCTCCAGATCCCACTGAGGGTTCAGGCACTGGGCAAATTTAACCAGCAAAATCAAAAAGTTCAGATTGCTTCACGTCTATATTTTCTTCCGAATAGTTTGGGTTGGGGTCGAGTTTCTGGGGGAGATCTGTGGATCAGCAACACTTTCCTTTTGTGAGCCTAGGGCAGGTACAGGCTTAGATACAAAGTAAAGCCCCTTCAACAGAGTCCCATCAAACACCAAGGGACAGGGACAGCATAGGGTTAGAAACAGCGTAAAGCTGCCTCTACACTGTCCCCATCAAACAAACCCAGGACAGAGATAGCACGGGGTTAGATACAGAGTAAAGTTCCTTCCACACTGTCCCCATCAAGCACCCCCAGGACAGGGACAGCACTCAGTGAAACGCAGAGTGAAGCTTCCTTTACATGTGCCCATCAAACACTCAGACTGGATCAGGCCAAAGGAGACTGGCAGTAGCTACTTGCAGGAAGAACCATATCAGAGCAGTGGGAGACATTCTAAAGGGCCATAGTGAGAGTGCAGGGCCAACATATTCCCATAGAGGTGAAACAACAAGTCTAGGGGGATTCAGATGGTGTACAGGAATGGATAAAAGTTATAAAAACAGCTTATGGTAAATACTGGGTTCAAAATAGTGGATGCCATGGAAAAGTATTAAAGTGCAGAGGGACCACTTAAAATAATTAGAAGAACAAAGAAAGGACATTTAAAAAAAAACTGGTTAAATTAAAGAAAACCAAAAGGCGTTTTTTTTAAAGTACCTTAATGGGAAGAGAATAACCAGGGAAAGAGTAGGGCTCATTAAGGACCAAAATGGATAAATTCCATAAGATAGATCCCAGGCTCTTGTTGGATTCAGGGAAGGAGGTTGTATGAGCTCTGACATTAATTTTCTGACAGTCCCTGGCCACAGGAGGCATCCCAGAGGACTGGGGTGTAGCTAATATGGTCTTATTATTGAGAAGGCTGGCAGGGATAATCCAGGATATTATGGGAGATGGTGACTGATCGCTTCCAATCCACCAACCTTAACCTCAGGTTGGAGTAATTTCTGCACAATTGATAGGCCTAAGGCATTCTCAGTTCATCCCTCTTACCATTCATAGAGTCATACAGAATGCAAACAATCTCTTGGTCCAACCAGTCCATGTCGACCATAATCCCAAACTAAACTAGTCCCATCTGCCTACTCCTGGCCCATATCCCTCCAAACCTTTCCTATTCATGTACTGATTCAGATGTCTATTAAATGTTGCAATTGTATCCCCATCTACCACTTCCTCAGGAAGTTCATTCCACATGCGAACGACCCTCTGTGTAAAAAATTTGCCTCTCATGTTTTTTTGTAAAATCTCTCTCTTCTGACCTTAAAAGTATGTCCCCTAGCCATGAAATCTGCCATCCTAGGTAAAATGACACCTACCGTTAACTCTGTCTATACCCCTTATGATTTTATAAACCTCAATAAGATCACCTCTCAACCTCCAGGGAGAAAAGTCCCAGCCTATTCAGCCTTTCTTTATAGCTCAAACCTTCCATACCCAGCAACATCCTTCTGAACCCTCTCCAGCTTAATAATATCCTTCCTATCGCAGGGTGACTATAACTGGACACAGTATTCCAGAAGAGGCCTCACCAGCATCCTGTATAACCTCAATATGACATCCAAACTGCTATATTCAAAGGTCTGAACAATGAAGGCAAGCGTGCTAAACACACCTTCTTAACCATCCTGTCTACCTGTGTGGCAAGCTTCAAAGAATTATGTACCTGAACCCCTAGGTCTCTCTGTATTACAACACTACCCAAGGGCCTACCATTAATTGTACAGGTCCTGTCCCTGTGGAGTGACTTTGACAATTTTCCGGCGAAAGGGATGGTTTCCTGAATCGATGACATTTTGGAAGACTGAACGCCAATACTTTCCCTGTTTGGATCCCCCGGGATAGAGACCACTGGGTCCTGGAGATTTGTCTGTCTTCTCTCCCATTACTTTCTCCATGTCCTTCTCCCCGTCACACGTACTAAATTTAGCAAGTGCTCCCCATGGGTAAATTCCTTGGAGGACGTTAGTCTGTCGTGAAGACGAATGCAAAGGGATTACTTGGCACATCGACTGCTTTCTTATTTTCCAGGCAATCGGAGACTGTTGTGAGGACATCTACAATTAGCCATGGCCCAAGTTTTATCCCGAAGGAAAGGAGAATCAGTGTAAAGGGGAGTGTGTAGCTTGGTCTATGTCTTCAGGGTCATGTCTTTAGGGAGTGGAGAGAAGAGAATTGGTGCCGCCCTCTATTCGTTGTGAATATTTGGAAGGCTGGGAACCAGGGAGATGTCAGTGTAATGGTAAGGACTAGTGAAACCCTCTGGGGGCCCATGTGCGGTTCAAATCTCACCATGCCATTGGGCAGAATTTAAATTTGGCTAATAGATCTGGAACCGCACAGTTAGCCATGCTTAGGGGGACCCACGCCAGCAAGTGTTTAAAAAAAAAATCAACAAAACCCTGTCTGGTTCCCTTGTGTCCTTCAGGGAAGGGAATCTGCCATCCTCACCCAGTCTGGCCTACACGTGACTCCAGGCTGGCCAGCTGGAATGGCTGAGCGGGCACTGCTCCCCTTCGAGGGCGATTCAGGGACGTAGTGATGAATGGTGGCCTCACCAGTGATGGCCACGTCCCACAGCGAGGGAATGTTAGCCAATAAAACATAGGTCTTAGAGAGAGAGGGAGAGTGAGGGAGGGGAAGAGAGAGAGAGGAAGGGAGAGGGAAGGATGGAGAGGTGGTAGAGAGAAAGGGAGAGGAAATGGGAGAGAGAGAGAGAAGGGGAGAGAGGGAGAGGAGGGAGAGGAAAGGGGGGAGAGGGAGGGACAGAGAGGGAGAAAGGGAGGGGAGGAGAGCGTGAAAGAGAGAGGGAAGGATGGAGAGGTGGCAGAGAGAAAGGGAGAGGAATGGGGGAGAGAGAGAGCAAGAGGGAAAGGGGGAGAGAGGGGAGAGATAGAGGGAAGGGGAGCGGGAAAGAGAGGGAGAGAGGGAGAGTGAGAAGGAGAGAGAGAAGGGAGGGGAGGGGGGGAGAGAGAGCAAGGGAGAGATGAAGGGAAGAAGGAGGGAGAGGGGGGGAGGGAGAGAGCAAGAGACAGGGAGAGAGGGACAGGGAGGG